GACATTCGATTCGAGAGGCGCGATGCGCGAAATCGCTACCCCCAGGAGTCCAGGAGGGCCCGTCGGCATGGGAGGCGTCGACGTTGAGCCGAGGGAAATAGATCTCCAACGCCAACTTGACTTGCCAAGGGGGCCGCCGGTTTCACCAGTGGCCCTGAGGGCCAAGCTGAGCAGCGGGACACAGCGCCTGCGGATCCCGGATCGAAAGTTCATTATCCATTTGTGGTTTGTAGGTACTTTCCGCGATCGGCCCCATCGGATTTCCAAGTCTCTCTTCTTTTTTGTTTTGTTCTCTCTCTCTCTCTCTCTCTCTCTCTCGCTTTTCTTGTTTTCTCTCTCTCTCTCTCTCTCTCTCGCATTCTCTCTCTCTCTCTCTCTCTCTCTCTCTCTCTCTCCTTTTTTTTTGTTGTGTTTCTCTGTTGTTCTCTCATTATCTCTCTTTCTCCCTCTGTTTCTCTCTGTCTCTCTGTCTGTCTCTCTCTCTCTCTCTCTCTCTCTCTCTCTCTCTCTCTCTCTCCTTCTTTCCCCCCCCCCTTTCCTCTACCTCTACCTCTCTCTCTCTCTCTCTCTCTCTCTCTCTCTGTTGCGCATTGTGTTTTGTATGTGTTTGTTTGTGCGTTGCTTCTCTTTCTCTTTCTCTCTCTCTCTCTCTCTCTCTCCCACGCTCTGTCTATGTGTTTCTCGCTCTCTCTTTCTCTCTCTCTCTCTCTCTCTCTCTCTCTCTCTCTCTCTCTCTCTCTCTCTCTCTCTCTCTCTCTCTCTCCCTCTCGCTCTCTCTCTCTCTCTCCTCTCTCTCTCTCTCTCTCTCTCTCTCCCTCTATATATATAGATATGTTATCACTCTCTCTCTCTCTCTCTCTCTCTCTCTTCTCTTTATTTGTATCTCTCTGTGTCTCTCTCTCTCTCTCTCTCTCTCTCTGTCTCCCCTTTGTCTCTCTCTGTCGCTATGTTTGTTGTTCTCTCTCTCTCTCTCTCTCTCTCTCTCTCTCTCTCTCTTTTTTTTTTTTTCTCTCTCTCTCTCTCTCTCTCTCTCTCTCTCTCTCTCTCTCTCTCTCTTTCTATATCTGTCTCTCTTTCTCTCTCCCTCCACCTCGATCTCGCGCCGAGAACTCGGGGCAGGAAGGCGCGCGGATTGGGGCCGCGGGGGCGCCGCGCGGGCGGTCGAGCCGCCCGCAACGGTTATTCTCGCTGGCCCCGGCCATGGCGAGGGCGAGGTCGCGTTTCTGCTCAATCTCGCCCTGGCAGCCTCCACGCGCGCGTTGACGCAGCGCGGGGGTTGGGGGGACCTACCCGGCGGGGAAAAAATGGATGCGCGCGCGCCCCGCGGATCGAACGACGGGCCCCCCTTCGCGGCCGAGGGCCCCACTTTGCCAATGTTCCAAATGACATATGCGTCGCCCGCCACAGCGTGGCATGCCAATGCATGATGGAGTACTTGAGGGGAGGCGGTATCGATGATAACACCACTCCGTCGAAGTTTCCCATTCATTGTGTTGTTCATGTTTGGATTATCTCCACTTTGCCTCTTGCGCGGAGATCCTGCGGGGTTCCTGGGGTCGCAGGGGAGCGCAAAGGAAATCAATTCCGGGGGCAGTTATTGCCATTCCGCTCGGGGACGTTGGGCAGGAAATTCTTCCTGGATTCGAAAAGTTGCCCGAAACAGAGGGAAATTGACACGTGCGCGCTAGAAGCGCGGATTGGGGCGGCAGTGGAGAGCTCGGAGTTGGTCTAGGCGCGCATCAAAGATCTGGGTCAAACCTCAGGTCTCGAATGCGTAGCCCCGCCGCGCCGATCCACTCGCGCACTGCGGATCTCGGCGGCCGCTTCACTTGGGTCGAGGAAGTTCACGCAGACTCCGCCGAGCTCTGGGATTGAATAGTGGCAAACAAGCATGAATAAGCTGCCACGATCGCCTTTGGCGCCATGCGTGCGCACGACGACGGGAGACCCATTGTCCTATTGCCAGTAGCGCGGACTATGGGCGTCGGTGACGTTCCCGGTTCAACCGGCAGCATGACGGAACCCGCCGCCGTGGCGTCACCCAGCGCGGCGTGCGCCAAGGCCGTCACTGGCTCGGCCAGCGCCGCTGCCCCGGGCGTTGCTGCTAGCCCCATCAGCACGCCTGGACCTGGAGCCGTCGCTGACTTAGTCAGCGGTGATTCCCCTGGCAAAAGACTGCGATGGATATCGATTCTGCCCCTGGTGCGACCGTTGGTTGAACCGGTGGTCTGACACCCCCGCAAAGGCAGTTGCCTCCTCCGCCGGCGCCGCTTTTGGTCTCAACGGCGACATGGCGCCGCCTGAGGTTGGACGCGCTGGAGAATTCTGGGCAGGCAATGAAGTGAGATCGACGGACGAACCATCTATTGCCTCTGCATCCGTTGCATTTTCATGGCAGCGCCGCGTGAACCGAGACATCCAGAGGGGGTGCGATGCTAATGAAACTGGAGAGCGGGCTACGAGCCGCCACTATTGGGCGGGCACAGGTTATCACATGTACAGCGAATATGAAAGAGGTACTAACCCCTCGAGCGTGATTAGAGCTGAAAAAGGAACAAGACAGGGAAAATGACATCACGCCCAATTTGGAGATCGTTTTTTTATTTGAAGCGAGTTCATCGACTGCCGATTGCAGCAGGAACGCGTGGCTGAGCCGCACATTGCTTTGGAGTTCATCACGGATTGGATCATGAACTTTCGCATGTCTTTGGCCATGAGCGGAATCTGCGCCTCAGCCGCATGCTGCCCATTACCTACACGTTCTTGAAGATCATGGTGAACTTCCGGCCAAAGAACACGATTATGAGCTGGCGCGCTGTTTTGTTTGGGGGAGGCGTCAGTCTGCCTCGGCCCGCACCAAGAACTCTGACAAGAGTAGATGCCATCCCGCCTCCCGCCGCGAAGCGTTTTGGGGGATGGCGCCCGGAGGGGTGCGCCCGGGCATGGCGTGAAGTCTGGCAACGCCGAGATGAGCTGCATCCAGGCCTACTCATCCTGTCACGGGGGAAGTTCATATGACTAGTTCAACGCTGTTTCCCGCCACCGCCGCCGCCGACGCCTGACACCACTGCTGGTCATCGCGTGTACCGAATCTGCATATGGTTGCAACTTTGTTTAAACGTACGCGCGCTCTCACACTGAATTGTGCGCCGTTGCTTGACGGACATTCACTTTAGCCACGCCAAATTCAATGATGCAACCTACTGAGGAGATATACCCTACCGACTGTGATATGCAGCAGCATCTTGCAAATCACAGCGCGAGGAATACAATGGTGATCGCAGCGAGCAGGAGGGAAAGGAGTTTGAGGAGAAATACAAGAAGGAGGTTGATGCCAAGGTAGAGGAAGAAGAAGAGGAGGAGGAGGAGCATGATGAAGACACAAACGAAGAGGAACCGCACCAGGAGCATGAAGAGGTTGTTGTCTGAGGAGGGGGAAGACGAGGAGTGATATGAGGATGTACAGAAGGAATATGTGGATGAGGATGATGTTGGTGAGGCAGGGGAGCAGGAGCAGGAGGAGGAAGAGGAGGGTGAGGAGGAAAAGGAGAAAGAGGAAGGAAAGAGGCCCAGGAGGATCAGGATTGGGAGGAGGAGGAGGAGGAGGAGGAGGAGGAGGAGGAGGAGGAGGAGGAGGAGGAGGAGGAGGAGGAGGAGGAGGAGGAAGAGGAGGAGGAGGAGGAACAGGAACAGGAGGAGGAGGAGGAACAGGAGAAACAGGAGGAGGAGGAGGAGGAGGAGGAGGGGGAACAGGGGGGGGAAGAGGAGCGGGAGGAAAACAGAAGGGGTATGAAGAGGAGGAGGTGTAGTGGAAGGGGGGCGAGGGCGAGAAGGAAAATTACCTGGATGCGGGGGGGGGCGACGACGACGATCACGAAAATATAGACGGCGACGGTGAAAGCGCAGGTGGATCAGAAGCAGGAGAAGAAACGAACACTCTTAGGAGCCACCTTGGTTCAAAAAACGTTGCTTGGGGATACTGGGCCCTGGCGATCCTCTTCCTCCAGCAACGGAAGGGGCGACAGAGGCAGGTCTGGGGAGGCCAAACGTACCCCAAAGCAGAGACGTACCTCAGGGAGGGCCCCTCGGGGCCCACCTCGGGATGCCTGGGGGCCGGGTCTTGGTGCATGTTGTGGTTGGAGCGGTGGACCCTGCGACACCTCATTGAGGATGCGTCGTCCTGGGGGTACATTCGGGCCCCCCGGCCGTCCCAAGCAGAGAGGAGGGGGAGGTGGGAGGTTCGCGGTCCTGGCCTTTGGGGAGGGGCTAATGACCCAGACTGTTGAGCATGCTTTGGTTTCTGGAATGGCCTTCCGCAGGCATCTCGTGGCCCCGGCTGGATCCGCCTCGCGATTCTGGCCAGACCGCACCCCAGCAGGGCCCAGGACTCGATGTTGCGGGAGGGGGAGGAGCAGGAGAAGGATTAGAATGAGCAGGGGAGGGACAGGAAGAGAAGGCGGCGGACGGAGGGGCAGAAGGAGGAGAGGGAGGAGCAGGAGAGGAAGGAGCGAGGAAGCGCAAGCATTGCTTAAGGCGCGTGGGTTAGTGACGGTTCCCGTTTCCATACCAGCTTTGCGCGCTCCATCGCCAAACCAGGCGGCATTGGCGCCATGTTTCCAGGATGGCGCTCCCCGGTACGTGGATCTCGCACTATCGCGCCAGATCCACGGATCTCTAATCCATTTTAGCGTGTACCCGAGACGGAGAGAAGGTGGCGGTGGGGGAGGAGATGAAGGAGGGGGGAGAAGGAGTGCGAGGAGGAGGAGGAGGAGGAGGAGGAGGAGGAGAAGGAGCAGGAGCAGGAGCAGGAGCAGGAGGAGGAGGAGCAGGAGGAGGAGGAGGAGGAGGAGGGGATGGAGGAGGAACAGCAGCAGCCTTGGGAATAACGCAACAGGCCCCGCCTCATGTTTGCCGACCGTCAGAGAGAGAGAGAGAGAGAGAAAGAGAGAGAGAGAGAGAGAGAAAGAGAGAGAGAGAGAGAGAACCAAAAAAAACACGAGGGGGTCTACACGGTTACGAGCAATCTGGGCCCGCTGATGGTCTTCAGCGGCGACTTCCAGAGGCACGACGTAGAGGTGCGGGACGGGCAGGGCCAGGTGCTGGCCGAGGCCCCCCTCCTGACAGTCCCGCCAAACAACCTCCTCCTCCTCCTCCGCCTCCTCCTCCTCCTCCTCCTCCTCCTCTCCTTCTCCCTCCTCTCCTCCTCCTCCTCCTCCTCCTCCTCCTCCTCCTCCTCCTCCTCCTCCTCCTCCCCCTCCTCTCCTGCCTCCAGCCAGTCCTGCCAAGCATCCTGGTCCTGCCAGTCCTGCTAAGCATCCTCCTCCTCCTGCCAAGCATCCTCCTTCGCCCCCTTCCTGCCAGTCCTGCCAAGAGTCCTGCCAAGCATCCTCCTCGTCCGATTCCTGCCTCCTCCGCCTCTCCCCCCCTCTCGTGTGGGACACCAGGCCGCTCGTGCAAGCTGCCCACGTTCCCCCGGGGTGTTCGTCCGACTCCGATTGAGTTCTTGGCTTGGGTTGGCTGTTTCCCCGCTCGGTGCCATCCGTCGCCAGGGGTCTTTTCTGGTTCTTCCGAGGCGATTGCCAGCAGAGGTGAATGTCAAATAATCCCTCCCTCTCGCGTTGTACATTGATCGGGTGTTCCGTGTATGCACGTGTGCCACAGTGCACGGCACGAGCTTCGGCATAGCAGGCAGAGTTGCCCCGAGAAAGATTGAGCGCCTTGCTTACATGAGGATCCAGCAACTCATCCGCACCAGAGCACGATTGCACCATGTTTTCGGCCATGCTACTACGCGAGCCTTGCCTGAGAGTTTCCAGGTGCGCCCCGTCGACTTGCAAACTATCCTTTTAACAGGGCGAACCTGGCGTGTCATCTGACCCTCTCCTCCGCCTGCCCCCATCTTGACGCGCTCCTCCCTCTTCCTCCCGGCTATAACACTCAATCGGTAGCATTGTACATTATGCATGCCTTTCCCATCCGCTTTTCCATTGCCGTTTGGGGTTCAAGGGAGCTCCCATGTGTGCCCGTGTTAGTTTCGCTTCAACCCGCGCTCGTCACCTTTTGCTAGAGCGTTACACACCTGTTTTTCATGGATCCTCTTAATATTTAGTTGGTAGCGGAGCTTCGGCTCTCTTCGACAATTGGGCGCCTTGGCCCGCGTGGCGCGCGGGCTCGTATCGCCAGGCCTCGACGACAACGGAGTCACCCACCTAACGGTTTTCGACACCATCGTTACACACCGCCGTGTACTCCGTACTCGAGCACCTCATCTCCGCCAGTGGGGAAGCTTCTCCTCCGCCTTCAGGACTGGCGGACAGTGAAGTGGACCACCCGCTTTGCGACAACCCGTACAAGGACAAACTCATCGCGTTTTACAATGACGGCGGCGCCCCGGCGCCCCTTCATGCCTTTTTTCCTGGGCTTCCCAGGCTGTGTCCGCGCAGCTCGCGGTTCCGACGGTTACTGATCCGCCTATGGGAATCACCCCAACGGCGATCCAGCCGATTATAATGAACAGTTGGTCAATACAGCGCTCACATCAGCGGTACCAGCCGCCAGCCGAGGAGGGCCCCGAGCTCCTCGCGACCATGTCGCGAGAGCCTTGGGGAAGGTGAGAAGTCCGTGGAGGGTGTGGCTGTTGTCAGAACTCCAAGGTGCAGCGAAGCAGACCTGGGACCATCTGGCTTCGATTTCTTTGAACGTGACCTGTCACCACACGCGCTCATCCCCTCCAGTCTGGCAGGACGAGGCTCGATTCGCACTCCTCTCGACGATCGTGCAGTTTGTGGCGCCCATGACAGTGATGTTGCGACGCACGAGGGGCAGTCCCATGACTATGTTGCGGGATGCCCCGAGTGCCGAGACCATCGCAACGACGCGACGGAAGATCACGCTCAATACGCTCACCAGGAGGAACGCATCAGGGGCACGTACCCACGTCGGCCCCGAGGATTATGGTCGGAGCAACGCCGTCGGCGTGCCCCAACGCTCCAGCACCTCCTAGGCCGACGGAGGGATGTTCATCCGGACGGAAGGCCATCGGAGTGGGCATGCTTGCCGCGGCAATTTGCCTATCCTACGTGGACGCAGGCGGCGGCCGCAACGTGCGCCACCTCCGCGCGTCGGGGCCCGAACAACAAATTCGAGTGCCTTTCCAGCGATGGCCGTGGGGGGCGATGATCAGGTCAATGGCGAACTCAGACCTCGACGAGTTTCGCCAGGCAGCCTTCGCACCATCGCGGCTCACTGGCATGGCGCGTGAATTCGCGGATGAATGGTCGTCGGCTGTTTTGACCCAAGGAGTGCACATTAACGGCAGCCCAGTGCCACCGATGACCTCCCTATTGCACAGCTCGGCCGGATGATTGGCCCAACTGGGCGAGGGGGGGCGCGCCTCGGTCGTCGCAGCACCCGTGAACATCGACAGAGCACCGCGGAAGCGCATCTACAGAATCCTCCCGAGTTTCAAACTCCTCCGCAGACGCGCGCAACAAACTAGTTGACTTCTGATTGGCGATCAGGGCCCTGGCTGCTTCCTCTTGCGCGCAGTCGGAGCGTCGAGTATCCAGCTGGCCGTGGTCTTGCAGCATTGCAGCATGGCATATTCGACCACAGCAGCACTGCTCACTCACATGACAGGCCCGCCGTTGCACTTTGGGCACATGATCGAGGGATCGCCCGTCAATCTCGCCCCAGCGGTCCACTGGGCCCAACAGTGGACCTTTCTCGCGGGTCCGACCGCGCAAGATCAAGCTCGAAGTCTCTATGGCACTACGAACGGATCGAGCTGGGGCGGCCTGGGTCAATCTGAGCTGGATGCGGCACCGAGCCCACCTGCGCCACGGCCACTGGGCGCAGGAGGCACCCGCGCCAGCAGGCATCGACTCAGGCGCAGACACCGACGCCATCAGCTCGCTCGGCGAGGAGGAACAAGCCGCAAGCGACCCCGAACTGCGCGGCACCCCCGCGGAACAACGCGGCGCGCTTATTCTGGGCCCACGTGCGCGCCAGAACACGCGGGCGACGCATCGACGACGGCGAGCCCACTCGCCGCGCCCGGAGCGCCGCCCAACGGAAGGCCAGGGCCAGGGCAAATGCCACCGAGCCTTCTTGACCGACTTGCCAGACAGCGACCTCCGAGGGGCGCCCGCAGGGTTCGGGAAGGGCAGACGTACAGGGAGAGGGGGTTTCACGACAACTGGCACGGGCTCGGGCAGCTTACGGGCGCGCGCTCCCCCGCATCGCCTGCGCCCGTGCGCGGGCGCCCGCCCCGCTCGCGCACCTCGGACAGCAAGGGCCACCAAGCCTTGCTCAGCAGCAGGCTTTGGCAGATGCAACAACGGTCTGGGTGGCCAGGGGCGCCGCCGGGACTCCGCGGCCCACGACTGCGGGCCCTGGCGGGGGCGATCCCACGCAGAGCGCTGACCCTTGAAATCGCGGACAGCCGACGCCAGCATCAGCCGCGCAGCGGCCAGTGGCGGCAGCCGCTGCTCCAAGTTCTTCTCCTGGGCCGAGGTAGCATCGTCTCCGCCGTCGTCGCCCCGCCCACTCGACGCCGAACTACGACGACTACAACAGGAGATGGCCGACCTCATGGGCCGCGTGCAAGCCTCTGCGCAGCCGTCGGGCCTCGACTACGACGCGGGCCCGCGCGGCGGCGGCGGGGGGCCATCGCCGGTCGCGCCCGCGGCGCCGACGGCCCCGCAGCGCCGCCAACAGCGCCGCAGCGGACGCGAGTGGGCGGCATAGCTTCTTTGGGACAAGCCCGTGGGCGCGATGGGCTGGGCGGCCTCCGCGCACAAGCGCGCCTCAGCTCCTGCGACCCCGACTGCCGACGTGCAGTTGTCGAGCTGGGCACCCATGCCATCCGTGGCATTGCTCGGCATCAGCGAGCCACGTGGTTCGCTGCGTTGATCGAGTTCCACGTGGCCACCGCCATCCGCGCCGGCACTCGCGGCGCCGCCAGCGCCGGAGCCCCCCGCCGGGGCAGGCGACCAGTAGATGTGAACGAACCATCCGGGAGAGCGGCAGCGCGGTTCGCCGGCCGCGAGACTTGGATGTCTGGCGGCGGCCGATCCGAAACACAGCGCGCGCTCCGCTCTCGACAGCGCTCGGCGACGACGCCACCTCGACAAACTCCGCAGCACACAGCACTGGAGTTACGACGACATCAAGATCAGCATCGCCGTGCTGCGCGGAGTTGGACAGAGACGCTTATCAATCCACTTGCGCTGGCTGCAGCGCCCGCCACGCCCCCCTCCGCGTTGCCGCGTTCACCGGCAACGACGGGAAATGTCCCATCTGTCCCGAGGCCTTCGTTCGCGGCGAGAGGGTGGCACGAGCGCAGCGCCGACGCGCTCTTCGCCGCGCGCGCCACCTCCAACCGACGCAGCACGCCGACGCCGGCTTGGCACTGTGCCCCGCGCGCCGCGGACCAGCCGACGCCATCGCCGACTTCCGCTGGCTTGGCGCAGATTGCGCGCCCGCGGGTCAGACGCCCATAGCGCCGGCCCGCGCGGCGGATCGCGATCCGACGGGCCCGGCGCCCACGGCGCTGGCCCGCGCGGCATCAGAGGGGAGCGCGTCAGATAAGATACCGCCACAAGAGGACACCGCGCAGTCTCCTCGGCCGACCCCAGCCCCTGGGGCACCGCGGCCAGATCTTCTGGAATCGCTTGGCAGCGCTTCCAGTTTCGTGTCAGCAGTAGATACAGCAGATCCTGCGACTCTCACTTAGATTTGAACATACCTCCATCTTGACCCACGCCCCCGCGGTGGCCGACTTCGCCAGGCGCGGGTTCGAGCTCGCACAACGACTCACCATGTCGAGCGCTTCCTTATCAGGTGGCCAGCTCGGCGCCATCGTCGACGCTGGGGCCCCGGGGCCCAGACCAGTCTCTGGGGCGCGCGTTTCGCCGGGGATCTGGCCGGGAGAGCCGCGCAGGCGAGGCTTCGATTCTCGGAGGAGAAGTACGCGGCAGGAGTAGGCAACGGGTCACAGGTTGCGGAATGGGAGGTTCACTGTCCCATCAAGGTGGCCCCCCGCGACGGCGCGACCGCCCGGCGCAGCAGTCGCGCCCCGGCCTTTGGGGGCGCGCGCCATGGCCCT